TCGTTTCCAGTATCTGTGGATCCTGCATCCAAGTTCACTTCGCCAAGCGTCGGTGAGTCTGCTGATCCTGTACCGGCTGTCGCCGCTGCTCCACTGCGTGGCGAGGCAGCCCGTCTCCTCCTTCCGAAGGGGCTGGCTCTGCGTCGTCTAGTTAAGGAAGGCGAACGACTGCCTGTGCAGTACGCAGCGACGCACCGAGTTAGTAAACTGGTTGCCTAGAAAGCTGGGTTATATACAATTTAATTAACCCTTATAATGTGCAAATAGCACGTTCACTGCATCTATCCGCATATGCATTTGCCCCTGTTGGGGGAGTGAGCGTATCTACTTCATCCACGCTTAATGCAAAGCTAGCTGGGTGTGTACTCTTCTATCCAGAAGTGCAGCGACTGCTGATAACTCCAGGGCATGGTAGCATTTTGCAGTCAGGTATATAGACAATACGAAGTAGCTCCCAACTCTGTGGAAGCGTTGCCCGAAAACGCCGGACCGAAAACCTTAGGCTCAGAAGTATGGGACGCTTGCATGAGAAAACTATGAATTCGAAGGAGACGCGTGGACATGGACAGGGATGATACAGATAAGTGCGTACATATTTTTTTTCTTCATGGGGTTTGNGGAGACGCGTGGACATGGACAGGGATGATACAGATAAGTGCGTACATATTTTTTTTCTTCATGGGGTTTGGAGGCAGACGAATAAGGTCAAGCAGTCAGCAAAGCCCAGTAAATAACGGTACATCTATACTCCAGCACTCGACGTGGCACCCCTTAATAATGTGTATACATTATAGCTAATTGCTAGGTGCAGGACTGACTTCGTGAAGAAGCTCCAGTGCGAGTTGATGCTCTGCCTCGTATGTATTTGGGGGCGTTCAGGGTCTGCGATATTGCTGCGACTCCAAAGGCTACGGAGAGGAAACAGCAGAGCAGCAGCCACCAACAGCAAGGCAAAGTCAATGTGTAGAGCTTAGAGCCGAAGGGAGCTCCCTTAAGGTCGTCCCATGCCTCCAGCACACCAAAGCCCACGAGCGTCAGGCAGGCCCCGGCAAGCAGCCACAGTAGCCCGCTTAGACACTGTCTTTGGTAATGCTGCTCCAAGAACCACCTGCAGCAGAACGCCAGCAGCAACAACAGTTGCAGCACCAACAACAGCAGCAACAGTCTCGCAGCTTGACAGCTAGAGAAATGGACTCCATCGCCAAGCATGTGGCCTAAAGCCCCACAGGATATTGCGCTGTACGGTGTATCTGCGGCGTGAACTAGTCCCAGTGGCTGCAATATGTCCTGTTCCTGCTGTGGTTGTTGCTTTTTCGTTGTTGTTGACAATTGATAATGCTGCAAGAGGGGTTCTCCCTTCTCCGTATATATCCTCTTTGTGTGGACAGCCTACTGCTGTCTGCGACTGCAGTGTATTTCCTTTTTTGTTGTTGCTGCTGCTGCACTTCGTGCTGCTGCTGCTGGAGCTTTGAAAAGAGCTGTAGCAGCTGCTGCAGGAACAGCAGCACCAACAGAGCAACTCTCCTGGGAGCAATTGTGAGTCCTTATGTACCTCCTCCGCATCTCCGCCATTGTTGAGCGCAGACTTGCGGAAGCGCGTTGCACTTCACTCTGCGGCAACACCAATACAGTTCAAAAAGATATCAGATGCAGTTCCTTTTACGTTTCTGGGTTGATGACCCCGGTAGAGATAGCAAAGATTAACTGAAGGAATGTTTGCCTTATCCTCTAGTCAACTCGTGTCAGTGGCAGCAACACGTCTTGAGACTAATTCATCTGCTAGTGCAGCTGTCAGTGGATTACCCCTGGCTGCCAGCTGTAAGATCCATCGCCTCCTGCGTAGCTTACAAACCACCAGTCCTGTAGCGGCAGCATGGAGAGCAGCACCNACAGCAGATATAGCAACTGACAAAACAGCAGCAAGCTTGCCACACCTTTCCGTTGACCTGTCGGTACTTTTTGACATCAGATACCTCGAACCCGGCCATTGTCGTTGTGCCCCGTTACCTAGCCGCTGAACTCTGCAGCAGCAGAAGCAGCAACAACACCGGCACCAGCACCAGCAATTATCCTCTGCTTCATGATCCTTCAATAGCCTATCTATTTTCCTGCCTGTATTCGCGAATCCCGCATTTCTGCACAATATAGTGGCACTGCTGCGTCTCCTCCATCTTGAGGCACTGCTCTTAAAAGTGATCCGCCAAGGGACTCCGTTTGCTTCCTGCGTTCTCCTGCCCTCTCGTTTAGCTTTACCAGGGTTCAGATAGCCTGCCAATATGAACTAGTGGCCTATAGAGTGCTGCTGGTGTACGCTAAGGGGGGCCAGCATGGGGCCCCCTAGGCCCTGGGGCTTCCCCGGGGTGGGCACAATAGGGAACCTGGGGCCTATGCGTCTCTAAAGCAGAGAGAATGCAAGCTACGGTAACTAGAGCAGCACTTAAGGGGGAGAGCAGCGCTGTCGAGGGGGGGGAGTGGAGCCAAGGCCGTCAGTACTACTCAGGGAGCTGGCAGGCTGGGGCCCGCAGGGCAATTACTGTGTCTTGCCTGATAGAGAGTCTCTGGTATTTGTATTGTTTAACCCTATAATTTCAAAATACAACCGTTTATAAATAGAGAAGCCAGGCAGGGCCTCCACCTCTTAACTACTAGGGCCCTGATTTGATGCGGCGGTTAGCGCACCGCAGCGGACTTGCTGCTGCTGCTGCTGCTGCTGCTGCCGCCGCGGCTATTCGGTAAAGTCTTGCTGCTCTTCTATCTTGTATTGTGATCATAAAGGCTTTTGTATAGCAGGAATGCATGCTTGCTTAGCGCAGCAGGAGCAGCAGCAGCACGAGAAGCAGCGGCTGCTGCGGCAACGGGCGCACGGGGACCGTGGCGCTGCTGCTGCTGCTGCTGCTGCTGCTGCGGCGGCGGCGGCGGCGGCGGCAACACAGATCAGCAGCAGCAGCTGTTGCAGTAGCAGCGAGAAAATTATTAAAATCATCTTTCACAGCGCATTTTCAAATGAAGAACCCTTTAGTACAAGGGACTTAGCACCAAGCGAAGCCAAGGTGGGCAGCAGCCAATTTTGGGTGTATAGGCAGGTCTCAGTGTTGCGTGCTCGGGAACGAGCTAACATGCCGTAGCATCAGGAAATGTTGCTGCTCTCGCTGCTGTTGCTGCTGTTGTTGCTGCTGTTGGCAGTCTGCTGCAACAAACCGAGCTAGCCTTCAGCACGACAGCACAGGGGGAGCAACGCGAGCAGCAGCAGCAGCAGCAGTAGCAGTGGCAGCAGCAGTGGTCCCTGCTTCGTTTCAACCATCTTTGGGGCCTTGTGAAGTGGCTTCGTTTTTATGTGTGTAGAGGGAAACAAATTAGATTCCGGGGGGGGAAGTAGACACAGCAAGCATCCGCGGGGTGCTGCAGCTGCTGCGGCATCTGCTGGAGCAGCTGTTGCAGTGGGAGCTGCTGCTGCGGTCATTGGGTTTTCTCACTGACCTGCGTAGGCACTGAACGAGTCGCAGTATCTCTTACAGACAGACCCCTTCTTGCTTTTGTGCTGTTGTGTCTTTTCAGGGCCTTCTCATAACTGCGCAGTGGGAGCTGCAGCAGCAGCAGCAAATGAGTCAGCAGCAGCAGCAGTAGCAACAGCAATACAACAGTAGCGGCCCCTCGTAGAATTTCACTAGGGCCTCGCACACCGACAAGGTGCAACAAAAGCAGTAGCGGCAAAAGCAGCGCAGCGGGAGTCCCGCAGAGGGAGCAGCAGCAGCAGCTGCAGCGACAGTAGCAGCAGCAGCAGCGGCCGCAACCCTGAAACATATCTTTTACTTTTAGTCTCCGCTATGAGTGCAGGGGGCATGGGAGAGGCTGCAGCGCCCGGAGCAGCGAGCGAATCCCAGCAGCAGCAGCAGGAGCAGCAGCAGCTGCAGCAGCAACAAATGCCGCTGAAACAACAGGATGCGGAGAAGCAGCTGCAGCAGCGTGTCGTGCAGGAAGAGAGCTTGAAAAGACAAGAGGAAGAAGAGGAGCAGCCCCAGCAGCAGCAGCAGCACCAGAAGCAGCAGCAGCAGCAGCAGGGCGCTTCCGACCAGCAGCAGCAGCTGCAGCAACCGAATCCGCCGACACCGAATAAGGAGCCTCAAGTGGAGCAGCAGCAGCAGCAGCAGCTTGCTTCTCATGATCCCCCTTTGCAGCAGGAACAGCAGCAGCAGCAGCAGCAGCAGCA